TGAAATACCGTAGCATTTCACATTTGAATCTCTTTAGAAGAACATCTACAGCTTCTTTAAGCATAGTCTTGCAAATTTCCCCATCTACTCTCGCTGTGAGCAGCTTGCAAGCATGGATTTATTTTCTGCTAACACAAAAATCTTCGTAAGGACAGGCAGCTTCAGTGAAAAATAGTACAGCTTATACTGTGTTGATGAGGGAAAGACACTACAATGTATCTGGTTACAAATGCCAAGTAGGGAGTATTCCATTTTTCTTTTAATTGCTGTTCCCCAAGAGTATTTTGTTAAAAAGATTGCCAGTATTTTTAGTACAATAAGTTTCTTGTTACTTATACTGACACATACTCATTCCTTTTTCTGAGCATGATTTGAGGTTTTTTTTTAATTTAATCCCAGCATCTAGATATCAACACCTCATTAACTCCACATAAATAAGTCTAAAGTGCAAAAATAAAAGAGACATGCCTACTCTCATGTGTAATATATACCACAAACTGATGTACATGGGAAGAACTCATGTTCAGAGAGGTATACCAATAAATAGTATTGTAATAAACCTCTGTGTTCCAAATGTCTTCACTTCAAACTTTTTACTTGAAACAAATCAGGTCTACCATTTCTAGAGTTCAGTGTTCCACATGAATGGGAATGGGAATGGAAATGGTGGGCTGTGGTTTACAGGTTCATGAATTCAGTCTCTTTGGGGCACCTACCAAGCAGGCTTAGATCGGGTTAGGTGTGCAGGCTTCAGTGGCGGACTGGTGACCTCAGCCCAAAAGACTGACATCCTGAAGGGGACACAAACAAATGAGTAAGCAAATTTTAAAAGAAAAGAAAAAACTCCCTGTGATTAGCACGAGGAAGGAAATAAGCAGGGTGTTGTGATGGTAATGGCAGGGAGGTACGCAGGGAACACTAAAGTCTCTCTAAGAAGGTGCATTTCCCCACTAAGATCTGAAGGATATTTCAGGGTGCTTCTTCAAGGTCATCAACTTGGCAGGATTGCTTCTAGGGCTGCCAAGTTTTGGTTTGTTTTGTTTTGTTTTCAGAAGTAGAAAACAAATAGGGGACAAAGGGAGGGCATCGGTTGCCTGTTTTAATGCAAGTTCAGGAGCTCATCAGGGCATTCAGTAGACCAGCCTACAGGGGGCAGGGACAGCAGATGGCTAAGCATTGCACATGCCAGGCAGCTCACCCAGAGCTGAAAACCATCTACATAAACACAATGAGCTGGTCAAATGACCAGCACTGGACTAAAGAGAAAGATTCATCCTGTTGATTCATACTTCCTGATAGTCCTGCTGGCTGACAAAGCTCAGGGTGTTTCAGATGTATTTCATGAGTAAATTATTCCTCCAGTCCCAGAGAAGAGGCATGTTTACAACTATGTCACACTTTCCCTCATCCTTCCAATGTGTAACTTTTTTAACCCAGTGCATAGACTACTTTTAAACACAGTGGTGTAACATTCATCCCTCTGTAGGTTAATAGATGAGTCATACAACACAAGCATTAATATGACATTGACACCAATTGGGAAATCTCCCAACACCCTTAGTTTGAGAATCCACATTGCTAAGCAATTACTTTCTTCAAATGAAACTGTCCTTATTAGACTGGGAAGGCACGCTAATCAGATTTTATCTCGTTAGCCTCTCATTGTGAAATCTCCCTAGCCTACTGCTAAATGGATTAAGATTAAACAGAATGGCTTGATTGGCAAGTGGTGTAGATTGCTGCTTGGATTCTACTCACCTAGGAAAGGTTTGCTCCTTTAATTAACTATACAGACAAGGCTGGCCCTACCGTAGGTATGACTTACATCAGAAAGCTCAGCAATGAGACATGAGGAGCTTGGGAAAGACTTGTGTTACCCAGAAGCAACTTCTAGCCCATGCAACTATAGTTCTCTTGCTCTATTAGAACATTTAAGACTGTTATGAAGGGGTGGAGGCATGGCTCAAGTGGTAGAGTGCCTGAGTAGCAAACTAAGGAGACCCAAGTTCAACTCTAGTACCTAAAACAAAAATCCTTTATGGAAAAACTAAACTGGAGCTAGATGCTGGTGGCTCACCCCTGTAATCCTAGCTTATCAGGAGGCTGAGATCTGAGGATCACAGTTTGAAACCAGCTCAGACAGGAGAGTCCAGGAGATTTATCTCCAATTAACCACCAAAAAGCAGGAAAGTAGAGCTGTGGCTCAAGTAGTAGAGCACTAGCCTTGAGCAATAAAGCCTAGGGACAGCACCTAGGCTCTGAGTTCAAGCCCCAGATCAGACACAAAAAACAAAACAAAAAACAAACCCATATCCTAAGCTGAGTGTTGTTGCATAGGCCTATTAAGCAGGAAGGAGCACTACTGTTCAAAAAAAAAAAAAAAGACTGTTTAAAGAAAGATTTAAATAAAGAAAGAAAATTAAAGCAAGGAAGAGAAAAATAAAGAAGATACCACCCTAAACCATTGCTTTAACAAGATTAGTTGTCAACCATTTCAGTGTGACTCAGAAGCTGTGTGTACTAGTAGACCACAAAAGGTCAGAAAAGCAAGGAACGAGGGGAATTTGGAGGTCACTAAATAGAACAAATGTCATCATTATAAACTTGCCTTAAGCCAGGTCTAGACATTTCAAATACCACCCCAAGCAGTGGTTCCTCAGGCCCCAGGGATCATCTGGGGGCCTTTTAAGGAATCTGATTCCTGATTCTGTTCCCTCACATTGGATTAAATTGAAATCCAGTGCCACCTGGCCATTTGGGTTTTTTTGTTTTGTTTTGTTTTTATGGTTATTCTTGGAAGCCTTGCTCTTTATTCTCTTACTGGGATGACAGACCAGTTTTCTCCAGATCTCAAAATCTTTTATAGCTCAGGTTCTGGATCATGGCAGCATACTGAAAACAAAATAAGTCCCACTCCCAAGGGTTCTGAGGTCTCTGGACCTATGGAAAGCAGCCCCAAGTATCCCTTAAGTGTTCAAGGTGAAGTTAATCAGCTAGGCTGAAGACTACAGACCAAACCCAGGAATTGTTTTCCTGAGGAACTAAAAAGATTCACTATGAGGGAGTCAGGATACCAATCTCCCTCCACTGTATCTCTCAGGTCTAGCCCCTCATGAGGCAGGCAGACTTTTCCCCAAAGCTGTCAGGAAACTTGGGGGAAGAAGGTGTTGAGGGAGAGAATATGGGGTGGAACTTATTAAATCAGAAGCAGAAAGGTTATAATAAGAAATAGCAATGGTCCCCTGCTAACCCTAAACCACTACAAAATTTTATTGACTGGCACAAGAGAGAATTTCCTTAGAATGCTTCCTGGAGGTAGCTCAACCTTGGATTTGGTTCCCACAAATTGTGAAAATTCTCCAATCGGATCCTCTGGCAGTGCAAGTAGCTGGATTGGCAACCCTGACCCTGCTCTCCCTGTGAGATTCTGTTTCATGAATTTCCCAGGAGGATTTCTGCACCACTTGGATGTCAATCTTCTTGCCTGAAGGAGGGGATTTTACCCACACCCCCACTGATTCCTGCCCACCTCCTCTCCCCCCTTAAAGCTCAGGGAAGTTGGGGATCACCAACACAATTGTAAATACTTAGACACATTACATGGGAATCCATGCAAGCAATGCTCTTAATAATACAGGCGGCTCTGGCAAGGCTTGGAGACCTGGGTACTACTGCAAGTGTCTGCTAACCCACTCCTGGGCCTGGGGATAGACAACACCTATCACAAGGGACTGAAGACTCACCCCACTGTGCCACGGGACTCCCCTTGGGGCGTGGCTGGTGCAGCCCCAAGTCTAGGTGCAGAGAACTCCATTCCTGTCTTTGCTGAACTCAGTCAGCTTATGATTCTGAGGCGCTGGCTTGGAGAACAGTCTTCTCCATTGCCTACCCCCTCCATTTTTTTTTCCCTGTGCGGGTCCCGGGGCTTGAACTCAGGGTCTGAGTGCTGTCTGTCCCTGAGCTTCTTCAGTTCAAGGCTAGAGGTCAATTACTTGAGCCAGAGCTCCACTTCGGTTTGTTTTTTTTTAAGCGATTAACATGAGATGTGAGTCTCGCGATTTCCTGAGGGAGCTGGCTTCTAACTGTGATCCTCAGATCTCAGCCTCCCAAGGAGGATACAGGTGTGAGTCACCGGCGTCCAGCTATCCTTCCCATTTAAAGAGAAAAAACAAACACACAAAAACACTTAAGGGGGGGAGGGGGTAAAAGGCAATACGATGTGACTCTGTCCGAGCTGCCACAGAACGTCTGTGGCAAAGCCCGATTTAGCCGCTCTTGAATTTCCATTCTGTTGCCTGGCAACAGGTTCAGAGGCGCTCAGAGGCCAAGCCCGGCCCCTGCTCGGCACCCTTGATGAAAAGTTAGACTTTGGGGGGGGGGGGGGGGGAAGGAATGGCCCCGGGCATGTGAGCCTTGTCACTGGATAGATTACCCGCCTGGTCCTGGGTGGCGTGCGGCACGGGGGCGAGCCCCTGCTGGCCGGGGCTGCTTTGCACTGGCCTTGTGGGACCTTCTGGAATCAAAGCACCTCCTTCCCCCAATACCTTAGATTCCTCTTTAAACACTCAAGTCAACTTTCCAAAAGTTTTCAGCTGCTACGGGGCGCCCTGTTAAATATCCGTGGGAAAAACGAACATGCTTAGCTTTATGGGGACAAAAAAAGAAAGAAAGATGGCCTTCTTCCCAGGATGCCCAGACTCGGAGAGGAGTTTTGTGTTCCCCTTTAGTCGGGTTAACCTGGCCCCAAGCTGGGCAGGAGCGAAAGGAGCACAGAGTATGTGCTCCAGGCGCCCAGCAAAACACGGCGGCCCGGGGCAGCGCTTTCCTAGCTGCCGCTGCCCGCCCGCCCGCCCGATCCCGCGGGGAGCGCCCGGGCCGCCCCGCGCGGCGCAGGTGCAAGCGCTCCCCGCATCCCCACGGGCACCAGCCGGCCCCGCGCGCCACACACTACAACCTCCCCGCCCAAAAAAAAAAAAAAACCCCGGCCCAGAAAACCTTACCCAGGTTCACGAAACTCATGACCATGTCCGCGTCGTTGAGGAAGGCGCTGTCCTGCGCGCTGGTCAGTGGAGTTGTGCCGTCGCCCCCGCCAGGGCCCGCGGCCAGGAGGCTCTTGCGGTGGAACGGGTGTCCTGCGCCAGGAGACGGCGGCCGCAGCTGGGGCGAGCTGGCCCCTCGGTGCAGCCCAGGCTGACGCGCGTTCCCCTCCGATGCCCCGTCCTCCTCGTCGTCGTCGGTGGCCAGGGCGTTATACAGATCCAGCATGAAGAGGGGCGCAGACTTCAGCCGCCCCGGAGGGGGCTCCTCCGCCAGCCGCTGCGCGAGGGCTGGGGGGTGCGCTGGCTGGAGGCCGTGCAGGGGCCGGGGCCTGTGCGGGAGCCCCAGCACCGACAAGATCTCCTTCTGCATCTCCCGCTTCTCGTGCGTCTTGAGGCGCCGGTACAGGAAGCCCGAGGACGAGGACTGCGGCGGCGGCGGCTCGGCACGGGTCGGGCTCCCGCCGTCCACCAGCAGCTGTCCCCCGGCGGTGGCGGCGGCCGCCGCGGGCACGGACGGCCAAAGTGGCGGGGGCCCGCAGCAGCTGCACAGCAGCCCCCACCACCAGCACAGCCACTGCGCCCTCCGCCCCAGCCCCGGCATCCCAGCCCGGCCGGGCTACCCCCGCGGGGACCGCGGGGCGTCGCGCTGCGGAGCGAGGCCGCGGTGGCCCTGGGTGTGATCCGCCCCCGCCACCTCTCAGCGGGCTCTCTTCCCCTTCCTGGCCCTCAGTCCTTATCTCTCATGGTCGTCCGGGGGCGCCCCCAAGTAGCCCAGGCTGGAGGGGAGGCGAAGAGACGATCGCTGGGGGGGGAGGGGGGGGAGCCCCGCGCTCCCGGGCAAGTCTCTGAAACAAGCGCAAGGTCCCAGCCAGGTGCGTCCGAATCAGGACCGCGCGGCGGCCGACGCCCTGGCCCCTGGGCGGGTCACGGCGCGGTCACTCCCCGTCCGCACACGTGCGCTGCCCCCGAGCTCTCCGGAGCAGCTGGCTGAGGAGCGGGGCGTCGGGGAGCGGGGCTGACTTTCAGGAACCGGGAGCGATGCCCGGCATCGTCCACGCGCACGCCTCCTCCCGGCTTGCGAGGCTACCGTGAAGTTCACTGCGCCCCGAGGGCCCAGCCGGTGGCTTCAGGGCGTCCTGAAATGCCAGTCTTCTCCACGGAGCTGAACTTCCTTCTCGCCCGCAAACTCCGCTCCCCTCCGCCCCCGGGCACGGTCGCCCCCCCCACCCCCCGCCACCCTCCCCTAGTCTCTGCGCCCCGCGCGCCTCCCCAAGCGGAGGCGGCCAAGAGCTCGCTTTCCGTTCGGAGATCTCTCGGCTGCCCAGCAAACCCCGCTGGCAGACTGGAGAGAAGGAAAGGAACCTGTGAGCGAACAGATCACGGGATTCGGCGTCCGCCCTGGTTTTCACAGTCTCCCGCTGCTCGGCCGGCGCGGTGCTCCGGGCAGCAGGCAAGCCAACGTGGGCTTTCTGCCGTGCGCCTAGCTCAGGTACAGCACTCCAGCCTCCGGACTCCCCGCCCTTCTGGGTAACCGACAGGCTGACAGCCAATAGGAAGACGAGTATCGAAGGCTATTTAAATAGACACGCCCCCTTCTTCCACCCTCCCCTCCAGAGAGGCTTAGCCTTGCTGCGCATAGGTTTCAAGTGCCGGGAATTCTTTGCAGGCGCGGGAGGAGCTGCGGGTAGCAAAGGCAGAGAGGTCATTGCTAGTTAAAAGTGTTCTGATCATCTCCCCCGTCCGAACCTTTCTCTGGTCCTATCATAATCGGAGGCTGAAGTTGAGTTAATAGAAGTAAGCGCATTTAGTTAATACCGCATGGATTGAGGGGGTGGGGCTGGGAAGGACAGTTTTCTTCTTCCCTCCTTAGTGTCTCTTATTGATGTAATGTAGGCGTTTGCGGACACGTGGCTTTCAAAGACAGCTGCTAGAAGTTGAGACACACCCTCCGAGGAAACTGCCTAGCAAACTTGCCAGAGACAGACAGAGTCCTGAGGATTTCGGGTGGAATATTTTGACTTGTCTCTGCTTTGGGGCTTTCATTTGGCTTCTTAAGCTAGCAGCCAAAAGGAGGAGGGTACAATCTGCTAATATGATAGAAAAGCCATCCTTACCTCGTTATTACTGCCTCAATGGTTCTCCATAGTCTCAGTTACCATTGTACTTTACATACTGACATACAGTCTAATTTACATAGTGCAAAATAAAGACAGTCACACTACGGGTTGGAGCTTGATGTATATCTTAAATGGGATGGGGGAGGAAGGATAACAGGTGGGACCCCCAAACACAGACTGTTGTAAGCCATAGACAATATAACCACCACCAGCATCTGACAGTATATAGAGGAATTCATTTGCCAGTACACTACCCTGTCACCATAGGACCGTAGGCGCAATATCACCTTGAAACATTGGATTCTTTCTTTTTTTTTTTTTTTTTTGGTGCGGTCGTGGGCCTGAACTCTGGGCCTGGACGCTGTCCCTCAGCTCTTCAGCTCAAGGCTAGCACTCTACCACTTGAGCCACAGTGCCACTTCCGGCTTTTTTCTTTTTGCTTCTGTGGTGCTGAGGAATCGAACTCAGGGCCTCAGGCATGCAAGGCAAGCACTCTACCACTGAGCCACCTTCCCAGCCCCGAAACATTGGATTCTTTTACCTAGTGAAAAGTGGTATGGGTTAGAAAATAAAAACTGCATTTTGCTGACTCAGTAGCCATAGTTCACATGGTCTAAGGCATTTGAGAATAACATATACAGATAAAAACTGTAAGATTTGTCAAGGTAGGAGATCATGGGATTTCTATGCCTACTTTCCTTATTATAAAGATCCTGTTTTGAGTAAGTAAAGGCCATTATCTTCAGCCATCTATTGGATCCTTTTCTAGATCTATCATGGCTCAGGCATAGTGGTCATTTAGGAGTCTCTAATTCTACAAATGTCCCAAAGTAGCTGATTTCATGCCATACCACTTCAGCAACACTGAAGGCCAATCTTAAACCATCTTTGGGGTTTATTTCACCTGAGAGGAGAATACATGGCTAGTCTAGGTGGTACTAGGATGCCAGGATTCCTACAATTCAAGAAGTGGCTTCATTTCTTTCTTCAATCTAGGACATGATACAAGCATTAAATCATTACCACAGTGTCCACAGCAGCCATGAATTCCAGTCAGAGATCTTAAGTCTAAGCAAATACATAGAGGTTTCCCACCAAGGGCCTCCTTTTCACACTCTTCATAAGACTTCCAGTGGCATGTAGAATAAAAGCAGCTCCAAGCCATGGGAACACTGGAAAACCATTAAACAACTGTGAGGATACTTAGTAAAACCATGTCATTTAAGACACAAAAGCAGGTTGTGACTTGTGTGTTGTATACACCTCTATAGGGATAAATGTCATGGGAACCCTGTACAGATACACACTTGTGTCAGCTTATCTTTTCTCTGAATGTGTGTGTGTGTGTGTGTGTGTGTGTGAACATGTGTATCTAGGCTGACTTTAAACTGTGATCTTCAGTTCTCAGTCTCCTGGGTAGCTAGGATTATACATATGAGCCACCAACACCTAGCTTATCTCCTCTTTCCTCTTTCTTTTTTAAAATATTTTGTGCTAGTCTTGGGGCTTGAACTCAGGGTTGGTACTGTCTTTAAGCTAGAGGCTACTGGTAGAGAGTAGTATTCTCCCACTTGGAGTTACAGCTCCACTTCTGGCTCTTTTGAGTGATTAATTGGAGACTAGAGTCTCACAGGCTTTCCTGCCCAGGCTGACTTTGAACTACAATCCTCAAACTTCAGTTTCCAAAGGAGCTAGGACTACAGGTGTGAGCCACTGGCCACAGGCTCATCTCCCCTTTACTGAGATATTCAGAGAGACATAGACCTGTGTGACAAGAGCTAAAAATAACACTTGATAAAGCATTATCAATGAAACATTTAAGCAGCAACCCTGATCCAGGTCTGTCATCGGCTCTTCACATATCTACCCCCACCAAGGGGGACTCTGCCACTGTTGAGTAGTTTGAGAATAAGGGGTGCTGAGGGTACCTCCAGATGATGAGCACAAGAGCACAGACTTTCCTCAAGGGCCAGTGGAAATCTGAAAATAAAGATGTGAAGTGGATGGCAGTGATTATAAGGACAGTGCCTTCCCATTCAAAGCCCCCCAGCGGATCTGTTCTGTACCTACTGTCTACTCTTCTTCCCTTGTGACTGTTTTGCCTGCCAGGAGAAATTCTTGTTCTAACTTTTCACTAACCTCAAAATCAGGATCACTGCTTGCTTCTCAGCCTCAACTGGAATTCTGAGAGAATAAAGAACCCTTAACCAATACTTCACCTGCTCCCCATTTCTCTGACCCCAGTTGCTTCCCCAGCATTTCAGAACAGGGGGCTAATAAAGTCCACATGTGATACAAGGGAGTAGAGGTGATTTGAAGGGAGAGGAGCAGATCTGGTTTTGCAATCCCTCTGCAATGTGTATGAATGCCTTGAGAAAAATCAGAGGTAATTTCGCCCCCTGCAGGACACCAAGATATTCCCACCCCTTCCTCTGTAAGCCCAGGAGAAGCTTCATTAAATTCTCTGTAGGAGTCTCTAAAACATCTGGAGGTGGGGGAACAGGGGAGGAATTTGCTCAAGAAGCCAGATGTGGGAGCCAACCCATAGCAAACATCTGGTGGCTTGGCTGACGTTTCCTGCAGATGGCCTCAGTTTCTGGAATTAGGTTGCCTGTCCCACCCCTGCCCCACTTCATGAAGAAATGAGGCACCCTCACCATGAGGCCCTGGTCTACTGACACGGAGGACAGGGTGGGAAGCCTGTACTCACATGTTTGCAACACTGCCACAGTGTGACACACACAGGGAATTCCTTCAAACGTAGTTGTCTGCAGGATACCAATAGCTCATGCCTGTCATCGTAGCTATTCAGGAGGTTGAGACCTGAGGATCATGGTCCAAAGCAATTAACCACCAAAAAGCCAGGAATAGAGCTATGGCTCAAGTGGTAGAGTGCCAGCCTTGAGTTAAAAAGCTAAGGAACAGCACCCAGGCCTTGAGTTCAAGTCCCAGAACCAGCACAAAAAATAATGTCATTGTCTGTATTCCTTATATGTTATGAAGGTTTGGGTTATACACTTATTACATACTTGGCCAACAAATTTTTATTTCAAAAGATGCTGCTTATTCATTTGCTGTGTTAAATATTCAACACCCCAACTTTGCTGTGAATTATCTTATTAGTCATAAACTACAAATAGTCTTTGATTTTACATTAAATCATATGTTAGTCCCATTTAGCTGCCTTTTTAAATCTCTATATCACAGCTTTTAGAATTAATTTAGCATCCAAGTACCCAAAATTATGTGGCTACAGTGTTTAAAAGTCTGAGTTCTTTCCTTCTAGAATCCTTGGGAAATTCTAAATTTTCATCATTACAAGTAGCAGAAGCTGGAGCCTTTTCAATACTACTTTCTAATACATAATAATTTGCTCACAGTTTAAAAATATAAATTTGGAGTTATGCAAAAAAAAAAAACTATGTTAGGTTAATGTTTGCTGGATGTGAAAAAAAGAAAATTTGAGAGTTAAATATGACTTCTAAAAAGAGAGACCTAGACAGCAGCCTCCTAATACATGTTTTTTTGTTTTTGTTTTTGTCAGTCTTGGGACTTGACCTGAGTTTTGTTTTGTTTTTTGCCAATGGCTAACACTGCACCATTTAAGCCACAGCTTCACTTCTAGCTTTTTGATGGTTAGCTGGAAATAATTGTCTCATGGACTTTCCTGCTCAAGCTTTGAACTGTGATCCTCAAATCTCAAGTCTCCTGAGTAGCTAGGATAACAGGCATAAGCCACTGGTGCTCAGCTCCAAAATACACGCTGCATCCACCAGTGTGTGGTCCCCAAACACTCATTCTTCCTCCCTTCACTATGTTTTCAGATATACCACACAGTCACTTCAAAACATCATTTAAGCCATCATATTTTCCTACTCATGAAGGACATCTGGTGGCAGAGTGAAAAACTAATACATAAATCTATTTCCAGAGATTTTTTTTCTCCCCACACTGGTACCCAAGAGAAAATCTGTTACTTGTATATTTCAAACGTTGCATATAAACGTGGGGCTCATGGCCCTAGGATTTAGGCTGTCTATATAATATTAAGCAATGAAGTATTTGGAAGGTTTGATTTGATAGGTTTTTAATTTTCCAATT